TTTCCCACACTCCACTTGAAGAAGGGGGGAATATTCGCATTGGGAAGACACAGAGAAGGTGCCCAAATCCCCATTAGTCCTTCAGTTTGAAAATGTCTTTTACTGGAGACAGTGCAATGAGTGATTGCAAAAACCCTATTTCTAAAAGCCAGCATGTTCAAGCCAGAGAAGTGGGAAGAAACATATATATATAACACACCACAAAGGTTCCCTCAAGTAGTCATGCAGAGCACCCCATCTCACAGTGGGCACATGCATAATCAGAATGTATAGAGTGAACACTTTCCATTTACCTGGCTCAATGCAAATTTTGGGTAAGTATTTCCTGGGAGGCAACACTAGCCATTTAGAGGGATCCTATGTGATGAAAGAGGGGCTCTGAAAGAGAAATACATAGTCTTCTCAAAGATGGTGTAGTGACTGAAGAATATGGACTTGTAGAAGCCAAAAAACCATCAGGAGATAAGACAAGCAAAAGTTGTAGAAAATGAGAGGAATATGTGAAGGGAGTCCACATGCTCACCTGCAGGAGCTCATTCAAGGGCTGTCAAAGAAGAGATGTAACAGAACAAAAAAGATGAGAAATTTAATGCAAAGAAAAGGGAAATAGTCTGTGAGCATCCACATCCTTAGATGAAAAGATCAACAAAGGAATTGATGAATACATCCCATAAGGAAAAAAAGAAAGAAGTCCATGGAAATAGAGGAGTCCCAGGATAGGGACAGATGAAAGCAAGGACCCCTATATGGAGAGGTCCACAATAAAGCACACTGAACAGCCCAAGAGGTCAAAGGAGTTGAGCTGAGTGTAAATGGTTCAACAAGTAAAAGATGGAAGGGAAGGAGATAGGAGAGAAGTATAGTGTACCTCCCAAGTAACAAGACGGTGCAAGAAGCACCTAATAGAAGAACATTAATCATAGGAGAGAAGCAGGAAAAAACAAGTCTGGAGAGAAAGACAATACTAAAAGTTCAACTTCAAATGGAGCATGCACAAGTTCATGCAAAAACTCATTAAAGTTTCAGTCAGGCATGGGAGTTGGGTGAGAAGGAGTTAGGAGAATGAAGTAACAGACACAGAACAGAGAGGGTATTGGAAGAAACACCTCTTGGTATAAGGAAAGGGGAAAGTCCATGAACAAAGACACCCAACAATTAGGAAATGATGAAACTGAGAATCCATTGACAAACAGTCAAGTAAAAAAGGCAGAAAAATAGGTGTGCAGAATTACTGCCAGGAGGAAAGGGGTGGCGGAAGGACCAATGACAAAAGATTCACTACAGATAGTGATAGTCAAATACAATGGATGATGACAAGAATGTCGTGAGAATAATGCCACATTAGTGGAAAGTCTGGCCCAATAAGCAACAGATGGGCAATTTCCATGTGTGAGGGTGGAGGGAGGATATTCTTCTGTGAAGAAGGAAAGTGTGAGAATGAGAAGCAAGAGAAGAGATAATGGGAAGAGGAAAGGAGGTCCAAATATTAAGCAAATCAAGGCTAAGGTGGTCAATAAGGCAAAGACAGTGGGGCCCAAGAAAGAGAGCAGAGTAAATCTGAGACCCAAAAAAAGGAGATAAATAGGAGAGTAGGTAAAGAGAAAGAGGTAAGACCAAGCCTAGCTGAGAACTCAAAAACCAGAGCTTAAGAATGAGGAATAAATATTTGAGAAGGGTAGCAAAATCATACAAGATGGATGTGCCTAACCTAGAGTAAACCCCACAAAATATACGGGGGTGTAGAAGCTATTTTGTTGATAGAATACAGATTGGCTAAGAGAAGCAAACCACCACCACGACTGAAGCTCCTGGCAAAGGATGTGAACAGGCT